ACACAGGCAGCCACCTCTTCGACCTCAGCCACAGCAACTTCTTCCTAGAAACATCGCCAAAGGCAAGGGAAGCAAGGGCAAAAATGAACTATTGGGATTTCATCAAGATAAAAAGCTTTTGCACAGCAAAAGAAACAGTCCACAAAACCAAAAGACAACTGACAGTATGGGAGAAGATATTTGCAAATGACATATCAGATAAAGGGCTAGTATCCAAAGTCTATAAAGAACTTATTAAACTCAACACCAAAAGAGCAAATGATCCAATCAAGAAATGGGCAGAAGACATGAATAGACATTTTTCCAAAGAAGACATCCAAATGGCCAACAGACACATGAAAAAGTGCTCAACATCACTCGACATCAGGGAAATTCAAATCAAAACCTCAATGAGATACCACCTCACACCAGTCAGAATGGCTAAAATTAACAAGTCAGGAAACGACAGATGTTGGCGGGGATGTAGAGAAAGGGGAACCCTCCTACACTGTTGGTGGGAATGCAAGCTGGTGCAACCCCTCTGTAAAACAGTATGGAAGTTCTTCAAACAGTTGAAAATAGAGCTACCATATGATCCAGCAATTGCACTACTGGGTATTTACCCCTAAGATACAAATGTAGGGATCCGAAGGGGTACGTGCACCCCAATGTTATAGCAGCAATGTCACAATAGCCAAACTGTGGAAAGAGCCAAGATGTCCACAGATGAATGGATAAAGAAGAAGTGGTATATATATATATATATATACAATGGAATATTATGCAGCCATCAAAAGGAATGAGATCTTGCCATTTGCAATGACGTGGATGGAACTGGAGGGTGTTATGCTGAGTGAAATAAGTCAATCAGAGAAATACATGTATCATATGATCTCATTGATATGAGGAATTCTTAATCTCAGGAAACAAACTGAGGGTTGCTGGAGTGGTGGGGATGGGAGGGTTTGGGTGGCTGGGGGATAGACATTGGGGAGGGTATGTGCTATGGTGAGCACTGTGAATTGTGTAAGACTGTTGAATCATAGCCCTTACCTCTGAAACAAATAATACATTATATGTTTAAAAAATAGTTAGTAGGAAGGGAAAAATGAAGGGGGGGAACTGGACGGGGAGATGAACCATGAGAAACTATGGACTCTGAGAAACAAACTGAGGGTTTTAGAGGGGAGAGGGTTGGAAGGATGGGTTAGGCTGGTGATGGGTATTAAAGAGGGCACATTCTGCATGGAGCACTGGGTGTTATATGCAAACAAGGAATCATGGAACACTACATCAAAACTAATGATGTAATGTATGGTGATTAACATAACATAATAAAAAAATCCTCTGCAAAGTGAGTTTAAAGGGAATATACCTCAACATAATAAAGGTCATTTATGAAAAATCTACAGCCAACATCATACTCAATGGTGATAAATTGAGAGCTTTTCCTCTAAGATCTCGGACAAAAGAAGGATGTCCACTCTCACCACTTTTATTCAACAGAGTACTGGAAGTTCTAGCAACAGCAAATAGACAACAAAAAGAAATAATAGGCATCCAAATTAAAAAAAAAAAGTAAAACTCTCACTATTTATGGTTCACATGACACTACATATAGAAAATCCTAAAAAGTATTATGCTGGGCGAAATAAGTCAATCAGAGAAAGATATGTATCATATGACCTCACTGATATGAGGAATTCTTAATCTCAGGAAACAAACTGAGTGTTGTTGGAGTGGTGGGGAGTGGGAGGGATGGGGTGGCTGGGTGACAGACATGTGGGAGGGTATGTGCTATGGTGAGCGCTGTGAAGGATGCAAGACTGTTGAATCACAGATTTGTACCTCTGAAGCAAATAATACATTATATGTTAAAGAAGAAGATGATGATGATGATGATAGCAGAAGGGGAAGAATGAAGTGGGGGAAATCAGAGAGGGAGATGAACCATGAGAGACGATGGACTCTGAAAAACAAACTGAGGGTTCTAGAGGGGAGGGGGTGGGGGGATGGGTTAGCTTGGTGATAGGTATTAAAGAGGGCACGTTCTGCATGGAGCACTGGGTGTTATATGCAAACAAGAATTCATGGAACACTACATCAAAAACTAATGATGTAATTTATGGTGATTAATGTAACATAATAAAAAAAAAAATCTTAAAGACCACCAAAAAACTACCAAAACTGATATGTGAGTTTAGTAAAGTTGCAGAATGCAAAATCAATATGCACAAATATGCTTCATTTCTAAACACTAAAATGAAGCAACTAAAGGGAAATTAAGAAAACCATCCCATTTGCAATTGAACCAAACACAATTAAATATCTAGGAATAAACTTAACCAAAGAGGTGAAAGACCTGTACTCTGAAAACTATAAAACACTGATGAAAGAAATTCAAGACAACACAAAGAAATGGAAAGATATTCCGTGCTTATGAAATGGAAGGACAAATATTGTTAACATGTGTATACTACCCAAAGCAATCTATGGATAAAATTAAATCTCTATCAAAATGCCAACAGGGGGCGCCTGGGTGGCTCAGTTGGTTAAGCGACTGCCTTCGGCTCAGGTCATGATCTCAGGGTCCTGGGATCGAGCCCTGCATCGGGCTCCCTGCTCAGCGGGAAGCCAGCTTCTCCCTCTCCCACTCCCCCTGCTTGTGTTCCCTCTCTCGCTGTTTCTCTCTCTGTCAAATAAATAAACAAAATCTTTAAAAAAAAATGCCAACAGTATTTTTCACAGAACTAGAACACACAATCCTAAAATCTGTATGGAACCTCAAAGGATCCTGATTAGTCAAAACAACCTTGAAAAAGAAAAATCTGGAGGTATCACAATTCCAGACTTCAAGTTATATTGCAAAGCAGTAGTAATTAAAACAGCATGGTACTGGCATAAAAATAGACACATAGATCAATGGAATAGAACAGAAAACCCACAAATAAATCCACAATTATATGGTCAATTAATCTTCAACATAGGAGGAATGAAGATACATTGGCCAAAAGATAGTCTTTTCAAAAACTAGTGCTGGGAAAATTGGACAGTCACATGCAAAAGAATGAAACTGGACCATTCTCTTTCACTATACACAAAAATAAACTCAAAATGGGTTAAACCTAAATGTGAGAACTGAAACCATAAAAATCCTTGAAGAGGGCACAGGCAGTAATTTCTCTGACATTGGCCATAGCAACTTATCTTTCTAGATATATCTCCTGAGACACGGGGGAAATATAAAACATAAATTTTTGGGACTACATCAAAATAAAAAGTTTCTGCACAGCAAAGGAAACAATCAACAAAACTAAAAGGCAATCCATGGAATCAGAGAAGACATCTGCAAATGGCATAGCCAACGAAGGGTAGTATCCAAAATATATAAAGAACTGATACAATTCAACTCAAAACATAATCCCATTAAAAAGTGGGCAGAAGACATGAACAGACACTTCTCCAAAGAAAACATAGAGACGGGCAACAGACACATGAAAAGATGCTCAACTGCACTCAGCATCAGGGAAATGCAAATCAAAACTATAATGAATTATCACCTCACACCTGTCAGAATGCTTAAAATAAAAAACACAAGAGATGATGAGTGTTCATGAGGATGTGGAGAAAAACACTTGTGCACTGTTGGTGGAAATGCAAACTGGTGGAGCCACTATGGAAAACAGTATGGAGGTTCCTCAAAAAATTAAAAATAGAGCTACCTTATGATCTAACAATTTTACCACTGGTTATTACCCCCCAAAAATACAAAAACACTAATTCAAAGGGATTCATGCACCTCTATGTTTATTGCAGCATTAGCATTATTTACAAGAGCCAAACTATGGAAGCAGCCAAATGTTCACCCATGGATGGATGGATAAAGAAGATTTGAGATTTTATATATATATATAATCATATATAATGCAACATTATTCAGCCATAAAAAAGAATGAAATCTTGCCATTTGCAACAACATGGATCGACCTGGAGACTATGATGCTAAGTGAAATAAATCAGACAGAGAAACAAGTACCGTATGATTTCACTCATATGTGGAATTTAAGCAGCAAAACAAATGAACAAAGGAGAAAAAAGAGAGAGAGAGAGACAAACCAAGAAACAGCCTCTTAATTATAAAGAATAAACTGATGGTTGTCAGAGGGGAGGCAGGTGGGGATATGGGTGAAAAATAAATCAAAGTAGTCCAGAGCTGCCCCAAACCTGGAGGGTGGAGCATCCTAAAACTGGCCATCACTCTGCTCCTCCAGTGGCTGCCAGCTTAGCCTGTAACATACTACCATAAGTAGTAGGCCCCCAAGATTGAAAGGAAATGTGACTTTATGAATAGAGTGTGGGCTCTGGAGTCAGAAACTCTGCTGGTTGTTGGCTGGGTGACTTCAGATGTCTCAGTCTTGAAGGGTTTCATTGTAAATATTACTAAGGATTAAATAAGTTTGTACATGTAAAGTGTGTATCTACTACAAAGCCTTATAGTTATAAAAAAAAAAAAACTATAAGGTTTTATTACTCCCCTGGTTCTCCACAGTGGCTTGAAATCCCATTCACTGGCTCTTTCGTCCTAGCACCACAGACCTCTTGACTTTTCCTTACTATCTAACCCCAACATCTGGGCTTCACTGGTTGATCCTCCATGTGTTTCAAGGAACTCCTTTTAAATAGATCTAGGAATTTTTCTCATTTCTAATTATTAAACATTTATTAAGTGCCTATTCCATAGGATGTTCTCTGCCTCAAGAGTTACAAGGATGAAGGAAATACAGTCTCTGGCCTCAAAATCTCTGGAAAATTAGAACTTATTCCAGAGTCCAGATAGAGTAAATTCCCTTCCAAATTCATAAGTTTAAAGTCTTCTAACATATTCTGAAATCTTCCCAGTCTCTTGGTCCCCTCTTCCTTTCTTCTTGCCTCTCTAAAGTTCCAGTTCTTTGTTATGACATAGATTCTGGAATCTTCATAGGCCACACTCCTATAGTCTGCTTAGGTCTGATCAACCTAAGTCACACAGTTCCTCTGCAACCCTCTGCATGCTTGTCTACAAGGGCGTCCCCCACATTCAAGTTCATACTGCTCAGAAACAGTGATCTTGGAGTGTTCTTTTTATCTTGATCTCCCTCTTACAAAAGAAATCCAGATGACACAGAATCCACTGAAGACAATACCTGGAAAATGGCAGTCTTGGGTATGGACTGACTCCCTCTCTAAGGCCTCCCTGACCCTACTGACTCAGAAGTCTTCTTTTCAGAGACTTTAACACACTGCTTTATCTTACTTGCCTGCTTTCTTTCAAATTCAATATCCTTTCTTTCACTCTCATTGATTCCCCTGAAAGCCTGGGGAAAACAATCCACAATCAACTAAACTCCAGAGTAAGAATACTGATTTCTCCTTTGGTTTCAGGAGTTTGAACTACTAAAAGAAAATAACTATCCTCTGGAATAATAGGAAAATTCCTTAGCCTGTTATCTCACTTCTGGTAATACTACTCACTTTATAATCTGCATCAAAACTTCCTCTTATTTTCCTCATAAATGGAGTGGATCTTCTTCTGTCCAATAGCCAGAGCATTTCAGACACTACACTACCCAAAGGGAGTACCAGAGGCTCACTCCAAGTACTCCACCTTGTTATTCCTTCCTCCCCTAAGGATTACTTCATACCAGTTATGAAATTCTGACTTGCATAAAAGATTCCAAACTATTTACTATTCATTTTAGTGGTCTATTAGGAGCAAATCTCTGAAGGTTGTTTTTTTGGGAAAATTTTCTCATATGATCTAACACCTGAAAGATTTGGTTGACATTTGCCCAATTTTCCCCAATTGGAGGTGTGTCATTACATGTTGAGATGAATTCATCTATTGCTTTCCTGCAGCAGCCTTAATCTTAGTGTAATTAATTTGCTTAGCCCTTCAGAGTCAATTGTCTTCAACATTTTTTACTGTCACAGGCAGATTTATGATTCCTTTTTTCATTCATTCATTCCTCCCTTCTTCCTCCTTCCCTTCCTACCTCTTTTCTTTTTCTTTCTCTTTCTCCCTTCCTTCCTCCACTCCACCCCTTCCTTCCTTCCTTCCTTCCTTCCTTCCTTCCTTCCTTCCTTCCTTCCTTCCTTC